CCACTGTTGAAAATTCCAACAGTCGCAGGGGTTTTGAAAGGAAGCCGAAAAGTTCGCGTTCGCCAACACCTTCAAATTGCAAACGCCGGCTATGTCGCTTACTTTCAAATTAAGCAAGTGATTTCCGGAGATATTGTACAATAGCAGATAGGGTAGTAACCCGAGATCTGGCAGAGTTTTCAGCTCGTCGAAGCTGACGTCCAGCAATTCCAAGGGACTGCTGATCGGTTTCGCCTGTTCGATCATATCGATTATGTTTATGTTCTGATTTTGGCTTAAATATAGACGCTTAAGTGACGGAAGTCGAAATAGCGTTGGGGGTGGTTGTACGATGGCGTTCAGCGATAAATCCAACGTGATCAGGTCGCCTAAATCTTCGAACGTCGAGTCATCCAAATTTGTTAGTAAATTATCGGATAAGTACAGAATTTTTACTCTTTTGTATTTTCCTATTTCGTCTTTCGTTATTTTTCGTATACGGTTGAATGATACGTCGAGTATCTGTAACAAAAATTTACCTTCTGAAAAACATGTGACGGCGGAGCACGTGAAAAAATAATCTATTTCATTGCGTAACGGTAATTACAAATGATGTTATGATTGTCTTTTTACAATTTGTTATGGTTTATGGACACATATATCCCAACCTTTCCTAGGCGTTACGTATCTCTACGCCGATTTAATGATTGCAATTTAATCAGCAGATGATGAAGGACAATGGAATTGTTGACGATCATACAGCAGCCATATCAACCATAAATTTAATTGTTTCTTTTGAATAATATTTCCTTGCTGATGCAGTTCCGATCTCAATCGCGATCAAGAACTAGGGCCGATAACGAATACGAAAGCTCCATAATGTTAAAAATGTCAATGCCGCACATAATAAATAGGTGGGTTTTTAAGGAAAAGTATTTTTAGAATTATTCAAGTGCGTAAAGTGGTAATTTTAGCCCGCCGAAACATTTGAGATCGCAAACAAAAGGTGGTTACTTTTATACATAGCTTCCAACCCCCTTCTATTACCCCCAGGCCCCAAAACAGGTACAACATTACGCATTTCGCCCATAGTCAGAACATAAAAATATTGATAATTAAGAACGGAAGCTTAATAGCTGGTATTTCAGTTGCCTTAAGAAAAAATAAAAATTCTGGATGTGCAAAAAATAATAAAATTAATACTTTTTGATTGGGCTAAACGGGCTAGTTTTCATCAGCCACTTGACAGGGTAGGGAATCGACGTCCACAATGTTCGCACTGTTGTAGCTCAGTACACAAGCCCCGAAAATGAATATTTATATGATGGCCACAGAAGCGTCTAGGCTGATAAAAAATTGAGTGACAAAGGAAACTAAAAATTTTTTTTTCAAATAACTCAAAATATTTCGCTTGACATCTAAATCATGAAACCTGTGTTTTTTCATGGTATGTGGGTGATTTTCAACATTAAAATAACGAATCCAAAATTCTTTATTGAACAACTAGCTGGATAGTATGTAATTTTTTTATTTTATTTTATTTCATTATCCCTCTCTTGTTTTGGGCCCTCAACAGGCATGCGCCCAATTACAGAGTGACTCGCGTAATGCTATTTAGAGGTGCGTCCTGACTTGAGCATTTTACTCCGAACGAACCGAGCGCGCACAAACAAACCGAACAAACGTTTGTGACAAATAGCTCGGTTTGTTCGTAGCGTTTGTATAATTCGTTCCGTTCCCATATTCTCCAGTTGTATTCGTGACAGTGCTCGATAATGTTTTGCACGTTCGGTTCGACGTACTGACTGTATTAATTTGTTGCAGCGCGCTTGGCTCGTTCGGTTCGTTCGGAGAAAAATGCTCAAGTCAGGACGCACCTTTAGATGTAAACTATCCAAATGCATAGATATTTTGATGGGAAATCAACGTTTCACTGAAACGTTTGAAAGGTTTGTACCTCGGTTTGTACAGGTACACTATCCAGTTAGTGTATACAGGATGGTGACTTGCGTAACGCATCATAAGGATTTAAATGTAAAATTCATAACATGCGATTATTGGCTCCCTAAATTATTTTAGAGCAAAAATGTATTAAGGTTTTTTGTAGAATTTTTTTTTTACCCCAATCAACCGTATTAGTTTTCATTTTTTTTCATATAAAGACGGAAAATTGGAAAAATAAAACCCGCATCTTTTTCAATAATCTGCGATGCCATGGGATTCTCTAAAACAAAAAGATATCCAGTTATCAATTAGCAGCAGATCGAAACGGATTTTATGATTGACTTGGTTACTGTATTGCAGTTAATGGTGACTTATTCGAACATTTATTGTAAATTGTTATATTAGGAAACCGTTTTTAGTAATTTGGTCTTTCTTTATGTTGAATTCGCTGTTCTAGATATAATACTTTTTGATAGAATTTGATTTGTTTTATAGCAGACATTCCATGGCATGACGGATGTTCGCGTAGTTTTTGTACTATAAAATTCCATGGCATCACAGATTATTGAAAAAGATGGGGGTTTTATTTTTCCAATTTTCCGTCTTTATTATGCAAAAATTGAAAAGTAACTAAAATTGATGTAAAAATTTGTTTTCTACAAAAAACCTTAATACATTTTTGCTCTAAAATAATTTGGGGAGGCAATAATCGCATGTTATGAATTTTACATTGAAACCCCTATGATGCGTTACGCAAGTCACCACCCTGTATATAGTATACAAGAATTATCGCCAAACCCCCCAAAAAAAACTATCAACGGTAGTCGGATAAAATGTGAACACAGTATTCCTAGACATAGCTATTTGCCCTATGTTTTCTTTACTAGAAGTAGCATCTGTGGTTAAAATTTAAAAAAAAATCCATAAATATGTACCAAAGTTGGCATTGCGCAATCTCCGCATGCGCACGTCTGTTTTTTTACTAACGGGCGATCAAAAATGAGTTGCTGTCGAGTCGCCTTTGGAAGTTTAAGTTAAGTACGATTTCCTATGTAAACAAAAATTTCAAAAACGACTCGACCGCCACTCATTTTTGATCGCTCGTTATTTGCCTTTACCAGAAGCATCTGTGGTTAAAAATTCAACGAAATATGATAATAAATAAGAAAGTTGATATTGCGCAGTATGTTCGCATTAATCGTCAAGATTTTTTTCACTCAGATGCCAGAGCTATAAGCTACCGAATTCAAAAAGAACGAACTAAATAGTTACGACCTCGAACGGACGAGCAGACAGACATGCAGTAGCGCACCCAACTGGTTGGAAAATGCGCCAAAAAGTATGTACCAAAAAAATGTAGTTATGTTTATGTACCTATGTGGATTGTGAAAGAACATACGTTCGAGTATATGTTTTGGGCGCTTATTAACGAGCGACAAAAGCAAGTTTATGATTTTGGACTTTCTGTCCGTCCGTCTGTGGACACGATAACTCGCCAACAGTTTCGAATTTTTCAATTGTGTTTTTAGCAATAGGTTGACAATGGTCAAGGGACTAATTGAATTTTGGTCAATATTCGGCAACCTCGTCGCTCGTGCAGTTTATTAACAGGCTCCTAGCGAGTTCATATTTTGGACTTTCTGTTCGTCCGTCTGTGGACAAGATAACTCCCGAACAGTTTCGAATTCCTCAACAAAGTTGTCGGATTTCGAAATTCAGGAACCAACACTGTATGATAAAGTACAGGGTACCCCATTTTCGACACTTTTATAGCGGATCTCCGTAATTCTTAGTGCTATCAAAAAGTAATACAGGCGTCATGTGCTCTTTTTGGGTCAAACCAAAAATAATAGAATCAAAATTTGAAAATATTCGCTCGCTTAATAGATACGTGGGAAATTAAAATAAAGCAAAAGTTCAAACGATTAAAAAAATTCGAAGAAATTTCAAAAAGATTCTTGAATTTTTTTTTATCTTCCTTTAATCAATATTCAATTTTTTAGTGTTATATTTTTGAAAAACGAAATATGCTATGGTAGAATACATTTTTAGCGCATTTTTGAAAAAAATACGCTATTATATTCGTTATTGCTGGCAGGCCGGCTGTCCGCGTTAGATCTCCACAACTACAATAGCTAGAGAATTCAAATTTTCACTAAAAGCTTTCTGCTATAGTGTAGATGTGCAGGCACTATTCTATTTTGAGTTAGATTACTTGTGAGATCGATAATTGAAGAAAATAATTTCGATATGGGTTTCGGAGGTACTATAATTTTACCGTTAGATAGCGCTACCAGTATAAAAACTTATTATTTACTTTGTGATTTGTTTTACAAAATGAAGACGTACCGTCAATTGAAATTAAATAAAATTAATTATTTAACGCAGCCAAAATTACTCGTGAGATCGATAATTTTAAACTTCGCTAATAAAATACTGACCTGCATTACAAAAAATGCGCTTTAATCATGCATATGCTGATTTACAACTTTTTTTTTTCAACGTTCAGCTGCAACTTGCCAACATAATTTTTTGCAACAGTCAGCTATTTTTATAGCTGCATCCCTTAATTTTTTTAGTGGCTTTTCTAGACATAAGTCGTAGTTAGATCTCGCCTGCTTAGATATAAGAATAATTCCAATTTTTTTCAGCTGCCCATTGTTTCATCGTAAAACTCTTTTGTTTCCACCTTCAGCTACTTTAGCTGCCATCCTAATTTTTTTCGTTCGGGGAACAGCTGCCATCGCCTTTTTTTTTTAAACGTCCAGCTGCAACTTGC